TCACTCATAACTGTACTAGCATACATTCTCCAAGGGCAAACATCAACACATCGGACCCTTAACTGTTTTTTGCTAGTTTTAGTAAACTTTATGTCCCTCCCTTGGAAAATTGCAACATTCCTGACTGCTCTTTTCAATTCCTCAGTGCTTACAAATCTCATCCCTAGCATAAATTCAAGAGTGCTATGATCACACTTAGGGTCATAAGTAACCCTTCTCTTTCTACCTATTAAGTTCCCCTCCTCATCTGTTTCCCATTCACTCTGAGATAGCAATGCAGAGTGTAAGTAGCCAGAATCTTCACTGTCCATCTCAATGGCCTTGCCTGAAGAAATGTTATCTGCACATTCTCTATCTTCTAATATCATCTTTTTATGTTTCTTCAAATTCTGCCTTGCCTCGAGATATTCATCATCATCAGAAACAAAGTCATCATCAGAAAGTTCATCATCAGATGAACTTTCTCCCATGGGAAAATAATCTGCATCATCACTATCATCCCCAGAGCTTTGAACTTCACACTCACCCACATTTGAATTAGGCAAGTGTGATTTTTTCCCCACTTCTACATGAACATCACAATCTTTTTGCCCCTCAACTTCTAAATCCACACCATTATGTTCCTCTGCCAAACTGAAGGATTCTATATATGTATCTATATCAAAACGTTCCTCTGACATACCCTCATTTTCCACACTTGCACTATTCTTTTCTTTCTGGGCTTCTCCTTCCTTCTGTGTTTCTCCTACAGTCTTCTTCTCATTCAGTGCTTCTCCTGCAATCTTCTTCTCTTTTTGTGCTTCTCCTGCAATCTTCTTTTTTTTCTGTGCTTCTCCTGCAATCTTCTTCTCTTTCTGTGCTTCAACTCTTAAATCTACATCATTATGTGCTTCTTCTGCATTCTTTTTCCCATTGACTTCTTCCCCAACCACATAAATCTCTACCAATGAATCTTCTTTGACTACTCTGTGTGATCATGTCCATAACGACACTATCATCTACTACATCTTTAAAGCAATCTTTTCCAGACTTCCCTGGAATTCTGTATAAAATTTTCTCAAACTTACCAACACCCAGCTTCTCAACTTCTTCTTTTAAGTCAAAATACCCAAATCTATCTGGATCTAAACCATGGACGTTCTTGAAACTACCACCTATATAGTCAACCACATTTTCGCAACTGACGAAGTATCCTCCATAGTTGATAAAAATGGAAAATTTGCCACTGCAACGAAAAATTAAATACATAAATATCTATAGGAATCTGAAAATTTCTCACTGCAAAACATATCGTTTTTTAGTAAATTGACATATAAATATCCCAGAAAACTCGCATTTTCTAAATAAACCCTAATTTTTTTTTCCAAAAATGTCTAATTTCTCCAAAAAAAAACCCTAATTTTACTCACAAATTCTAAAATTCGAGATAAATTGTAACTGAGTTCAAGCAGACAAGTAAAGAATATACCATGCTTAGAAAATCGCCAAACTAATTTTCCAGAAAATCGTCATTTCCCCAAAAACCCTAATTTCTCGAAATATCCAAAATTTCCCAAAAGAATCGTGTTTTACCTCGGGAATTCGAGGCAGATTTACATTTCTAAATGAACCCTATATACATTTATTCTATAATTCACTTGTTTTAGGAATAAAAATATAAAAATAAAAAAATCGAAAAACCTGTCTTTCACTTCTCTGTCGAATGAAACTCTCGAACGCAGGAACTCAAACTCTCATGAAAATGAGACGACAACGCCGCGAAATCTTGGTGCAGAGATAATATTTCATACGTAGGTTCGATTATTTGGAGAGGAAAGTGCAGAGCGATTTTGAGGGATTCAAATTGTGGATCGATTTAGGGATTGGAAATTTTGGGTGTTGGGAGTGACGGGGACCCGTTTTTATACCCATGCCACGCAGAAATGAGAATTTTCCACCTAATTAACTTATATCCACGCAGCAAATGGGTAATTCCACGTCGACTTAAGCTGCCGAACACGCTGGCGGGTTTTGAAGCTCCGACCGGTCTAAAGTCCATTTTGCAATAAGTAAACAAAGGTCAGTATTATATTGCATTTATCCAAAGTTTGGAATAAAATCGCCAAACGCAAAAAGGTTGAGGTTTTTAAAGCAATTAACCCTATCTTTTATGATGTTGCAAAACCAAAATATTAATATAGTAGGATACTGATTGTGTTCTGGTGGCAGTCAAATAGAATTTTTCAATAATCATTTCTGGAAATTTAGGAATTGAAGTTAAAAAGTCGTTAAAAGCATAGCAAAAATATTATATGATAATAGTAGTAGAAAACATGCAATTTGATTTTTTGAGAAAATAAATCTTAGTTTGATATTTTAAGACTAACATGACAAATTGATTCTCAATTGTATTAATGTTGGATTATTATAGTTGACGTTTGACGTCAACTATAATAATGAAACATATTAATTGCTAGATAATAGGAAATTATGTAAATGGTTTATTGTTATAATAAAGGAAATTGAATAAATAGAAAGTTTACAAGTGAAATTTAAAATTCAGAAACGAAAATTAAAGTAAACAAGGAATTTGCTGATATATAGTAAAAGATCGACAAGGAGAAGGAGAATATTGGTATATATTTGGATGAATACTTTCATGTTGGTTATCGTTTGTTTTGAGTTTAATTCGAGGGCTAAATCTATACATAAAAAAAAAACAACTGGGCTAAGAGAGTGAGCTAAGGGCTATGAGAGTGACAAGTATCCCGATGCAAAACTCTTGTTTTGATGATAAGACTGATTGGATGGTCGCTTCAACAATTTTCTTTATTAGTTTTCATTCATACTGTAGAGAGATCGACAATTCTTATAGGAGAAGGTAAAGAGAGAGATCAGTCCAGTGCAGATGTGGATCGGCATTGCCATGGTGGTCGAGTTTTCTTGGGTCGTGTTCTTCCGTAACCTAGGCCAACCGTCTAACGGACCTGACATTCTATATATATTTTAGCTTAATGGGCCGACGTGATTTTTATGTATAATAATTGCTTTATGCATAGTTAACTGATGGATTTCTTATTCTAATCTGGAATTACTTGGACTGGGTTAACATGCAAGAAAAATAAATGGACCTCCTTGAAAGCCCTCCCGGTTCCCTTGCGGCAGCTCTACTAGATAAATTTACTACTTATTTTATTAAATTATGCGTTGGAAAATATAAATTATTGAATTTGATAATATTATGATAGTAAGAGTAGTGTATATTTCCCTTGGTGTATTTTTATAATTCAATTTGCAAAGTGCAAAACTATTATGCAGTATGACTCGTCGAGATGAAAAACATATATTATTTGTTTAGTTCACGTGTGATATTAATAGCGGGGATAGCTCAGTTGGGAGAGCGTCAGACTGAAGATCTGAAGGTCGCGTGTTCGATCCACGCTCACCGCATTTTTTTCCTTTTATTTCCCTGTCCTCTTTCAACAGTCAAAGTTCCCTAACAAATCATATCGGTTTTTTTATTCGGAGTAGTGAGCATTATTCGGATAAAACCGAAAAAACCGACCGAACCGAATAGTGTTGTTCGGTTCCGTTTTTTTATTTCCTAATTCGGTTCGGTTTGATTTTTTAAAAAAATCGGTTTATCGGTTCGGTTCGGTTTTCGAAAAAATAAATTCGGTTTAACCGAACCGAACCGAATTTATGTTACTAATTAGTAAACTTTAATAGTAATGGTCTATTGCCCAATTCAATAGCTAAATAATATAAATCAAATATTAGATTTTAGATATGTATGCCTAATTTCATAGCCCAACAACTAAATAATAAATCAGATTTTAGATTTTAGAGAACTTGTGATAAAAATTATTATGTTTTGGAACATGTGTTGTGAATTTATGTATAATTTCGGTTTTCGGTTTTAAAACCGAACCGAACCGATAATTTCGGTTCAATTTTAGTTCGGTTTTTAAAGGTTATTCGGTTCGGTTCGGTTTCATATTGTAATATAATTTCGGTTTTCAGTTTTTTCGGTTCGGTTCGGTTTTCGGACCGAACCGACCGATGCTCACCCCTAGGCTAGGTAGCTAAACATTTATTTTCCAAATAAACTAAAACAACTAAATAAGGAATAAAAAACATGCTAGGTCATAAAATAAAAATACGGATAATAAATCATATTAAAACCAAAAGGCGATCATATTTGTCCATGAAGGCTATAGCGAGCCGCGAACTTCTTCTACATTTTATTTTATTTCCATTACCCACTCTTCGTCCTTTCCTTTTTCATAATTACAATCCTGCCCCCACTGGGCTTTTCACCGTTGGATCACAATAATACACATGTTATACATCCATGTTCCATATATATATATATGTATATATATGTATGAAGTATAAAAAATCAATATGCTCATCATTGTTGCCTTTTATATATTGCTCAAACTCATGGTGAGAAAGAGGCCTTTTGTTATTTCAGGGTGCATGATGCAACTAAATGGGCCCATTGGGTGACAACAATTATTGGTATCCAATAATTTAATGGGAGATGCTACAGTATCATTCCGTTAGGGTTTAGATAAATTATCTCCGATGGTTATATGTTGATCTAATGTTGGAATATCACTTGTGAGCCGTCCCACATTGATTTGATAGGGTAAATGAGTCTAGTTTATAAGCCTAGTAGGTTACTACTCCTATCATCAATTGGTTTTTTGAGATGGAACCTCACTAAGGTGCAACTAAGCTCACCCTTTTATGATGTGTTTCACTGTGTGTGGGACAACACCCTTGATGTCCCGATTATAAAAATTTGACATCTAACGATTACAAACCTCCGACAGAATGATTGTAATCCGACAGAATGGTTACTTAACGAGACCACCTTTTTCAGTAAGCCCTTTTGATCAAATCCCCTGTGTTTTTCTCTGCCAAATTTTGCTTACATTAGCACCAATTTTCTAGTTTGGGGGATCATCACTTAACCTTTAATTTTAATCCATTTTTCTCTACACTCAATCTCAATGGAGGATTTGATTGGTCCAAGGTTGTACAGCTGCTACAAATGCAGAAACCCTGTTGCTCTTCATGACTCTATTATCTCTAAAGGATTTCAGGTAAGCCGAATTTCCAATTATACGGTGTTCTATCCGTTTTTTTTTTTTTAAAATGATTCATTTTTTATTTTTTTTTTCGATCAGTCGAAAAACGGACGAGCGTTTCTGTTTTCTCGTGCGGTGAACGTGTTCGCGGGCCGGAAAGAGGATCGGCAGCTGATGACGGGCCTGCATATGGTGGCCGACGTGCACTGTCGGGATTGCAAAGAGGTTTTGGGGTGGAAGTATGAGAAGGCCTATGAGGATTCACAAAAGTACAAGGAAGGTAAATTTGTGCTTGAGAAATTCAAGATTGTTATCAGTGAAAATTGATACTACTATGTTTTATCTGTGTGTTTTTCATGATGTAATAATAATATTAATGTAGAGTACAGAATTTAGGTGACTGATTGAGAACACAAAATAAGTGTTTCTCAGAATGTATGTATTTTTTTTTTCTTTTAATTTTTTTTTAAGTTATGTAAAGTTTTTTTTCAAGTTAGAATATTGTGGGAAAAGTAAATATTTATTTTGGCCTGCTCTAATTATATTAACTATTTAATTATTTAATGGATTTAGTTGAGTGATTGGAATGAAGTAAAAATTCATATACAAAATTTATGTTTGATGGATTTATTTGAGGTATTAAAATGTGCAAGCTTATAAAAAGCAAACATTAATTTTTTTTCGTGACTTTCGTTTCATTTGTTGTTGGTGATAACACACGTCAACATGGGAGGTGGTGTTTGTGGGATTTAACTCTTGACCCTTCAAATCCCACAACCAACGTTTTACGTGCCCTTTTATGGCTAACTTTAACAATTTATTTCTCACTCACCGAAAATCAGTTTTGAGAAAATAAATATACCACGAGTATCTACTCGGAACGTAGAATTTTTCTACAATATTTAATTCAACTAAAATTAGATATTTAGCCATCAAAAATTCAGTAAAAACTGGGTCAAACCCAAGTTTTACAACTGATTTTTCCAACAATCCCCCACATGAGTGGAAATCAAATGTATGCATGTATGCAGACTCTTGTGCTCAATCCTCACAAGAC